ATATATATATATATATATATATATGCATATATGAGGCTTTTTTATGTATTAAAAAGCTCTATTTTTTTCGGTCTTCTTTTTTTTTATTGTGCAACTATTTAACACGATAATATATGTTAAGTTGATCTTTTTAACCATAAATTCTTCATATAGTTCCAACATGGCTAAAACAATGAAGGTGGTCCATCAGTTATATGGAATAAAGAAGTTACAAATATTTTTTGCAATCTCCGTATTAAAGAAATAGAACTCAGAATATCGCCAATCACATATTTTAACAAGGAAGGTTGCCAAAATATTACAAAGAGGTTCAAAGAATTGACGGGAAAGGATTACGACAGACATAAATTCAAAAATAAATGGGATCAATTGAAGAAGTAATGGAAAATTTGGAAGGAGCTGAAATGTGGATCTACCGGGTTGGGTTGGGATCTCATTAAGCGGACAATCGATGCTCCAAATGAATGATGGGTTGAGAAATCAGAGGTGATATTTACATTATATATTTTGTTTATTCTCAAAATGTTTTGGTTTAACAAATAATCCCTCTAAACCCCCCTTCTCAATACAATATTACACGCAATGCCGACATACAAAAAATATAAACAGTGCGGAATTAAGCCAGACTTTGATGATAAACTTAACACAATGTTTAAGAGGGTTGTCGTGACGAGAAAGCATGCATTCAACCCGAGTGAGATAGGGTTTGCAGGCATACCAAATGATTTGCCACCTAAGCAGGAGACAGCTGACGAAGAAGAGCGTAGTATTAACTAGAAGGAGATGGGGGAGTCCAAGTCACTGTCAAATAGGCTCAGGCTTAGTAGGAGGAAGAAAGAAAAGGACAGTTTTATGAAATGCTCATTCGATCGACTCATTGATATTTTGTAGCTCCACCTCCTGTTGCACTCCCTGACAGCACCATCTTAGAATGTGTTAGAGCTTTAGATGCTCTTCCTGAAGTAGTTGTCGATATGTGATTTCATGCAAAGTGTGTAAAAAAACTTAAGGATCCTACCGTAGGCAAATATTCATGGCGCCGCAGCTGGGATAAATGGGTGGGTGAGATGTTTTTTTGGACATCCAATAAGGTTCAACTACATATTTTGAATGACTGCACCCATTTTTATGAATCTCCTTCACGAGTTATCTCTGAAACACGACCTCCAAGGTTCTTCTAGAACGACAAATTGGGAGTTGTTGGCTATAACATTATACATTTTTTCGCAGAACGAATCAGTTAAAAGAGCTATGGAGAGATTTTAACATTCTCAGAAACATTTAGTTGGTACTTCTCCAAAGGCTTACAGGCAATTATTAGCTTGGTAGTTCAAATCATTAAGTCAGAGGATTCATCATTTGCTAATACTAGAGAACAAATTGCCAACGATCCCCGTTACATACCTTATTTCAAGGTAACTATTAGTTTATCTACGTTACTTTCAAAATTTAATTAGTTTCTAATGATGTAAGACAAAACTGCATAGGTGCAACCGATGATACTCACGTTGATGCCCGACTACCCAACCACGACAAGGTGTCGTGCATTGTTGGAAGTTATTGAACTACTCAGAATGTCATGGCAGTATGTGACTTCATCATGTGTTTCACTTTTGTAATGGTGGAGTGCACATGACAGTCGAATTTTCTCCTATGCAAATAGGAATTGATCACAGTGTTTCCCTCACCTGTCTTCAGGTTTGTTTTGTTTTGTAAACGTATTAGTTATATGTATTATTTGTCATTAATAGTGTCTTTCATAACAGAGAAATATTATTTGGTTGATGTTGGATATCCTATGCAGAAGGGCTACCTCGAGCACTATCCGAACACCAGATACCATATTCCTGATTTTGAGAGAGCAATTGACACCATTTATGGCGGAAAAATAAAGTTTAATAAATGTCACTCCTCTTTATGCGGGGTAATTGAAAGAACATTTTAGTTTGAAAGAAAAAATGGGTTATCCTACGTGATATGTCGTCATATTCTTTTTAAAGGCAGGTGCATATTGTGGTGGTCGCAATGTCACTTCATAACTTCATCCGACGACATCCCTCTCAATCAGATACGGATTTCAGTATGGCTGACAATGATGAACTGAATGTCTCTGAAGGACCTTCAGAATTTGTGATTGGGCCTTCATTACTTGAGGAAGAGATAGACTCTAATGAATTTGAAATTCATGATGGTGAAGGTGTGACCAAGATGGTTTCTTTGAGGGAGTCTATCGCAGATGTTATCTGTGGTGGCTGATCCACCAAGTCATATTTATTTATTAAATATAGGTTATTTTCATATGCATTTTTTTTGTTTTTTTTATTTCTAATCTGACAATTGGTTTCTTTTTTTAGGCAGCTATAACAACATGAGTTCCAGAATTTCGGGGTCCAACGAAGTTATCTTGTGTTACTGCGGAATACCGGCTCCGTTACTCACGTCACGTCAACCTCACAGCAGTAGGAGACAGTTCTACGGTTGTCGTAGAGGCGTTTCAGCTCGTTGTGGTTTCTTCTGTTGGGCCAACAATCCAACATATTGCACTGCCAACAGTTATAGGGTTACAATGATTTCCCATGGTGACAGTGCAACTGAGGACATACATAGTTAGAGTTTTAAATTGAATGTTCTAATATTTCTCATTGTAGTTGTAATTGTATTTATCTTTATTTTTTTTCTTCTGATACTCACAAGAGTGTGAGCACTCAATGTTATCTTTTTGAACTAAAATATGATTATTTGCGGCTTCTATTTTATCTATTTTTGTGTTCATACAGTTATGTTGCAAACAACATCACTAGACATGGGCAAAATGGTTATTTATCTAGCAACAACTGCCAATAAGGGGTTGTTTGGGGTAACTTATAAGTGTGCGCGGCGTCTGTATCGTTTGGTTCGCGTGTTTCGCCAGCTTATCTGAAACCGCGTTTGGGTTTTTACAATAAACGCAGACCGCGGGCCGAATTCTGCGGCCCACCCGTGGGCTGAACCCCGCAGCCCGACTGCGGGCTGTGTTTCAGGTTAAACAGCTTATCCTGAAACGCATAAGCTGCCCCAAACGCACCCTAAGTTGTTCAACATAAGATCTCTCAAACAACAAACTAGTTTATCCTGATAACCTGCTAAAGATTTGAGTTGTATACAAACTAATATAAATGTTTAACGGTCTATTTGGAGCAACTAGAGTTTATATATAATCTGCTAGATATTATATATAATCTGTCAGTAAATTATTCTGACAATCTAATAATCTGTACCAGATTATATATAATCTCTAATATCTAACAAATTATATATAATCTGCAGTTGTCCCAAATAGACCGTTAAACATTTATATTAATTTGTATACAACTCAAATCTTTAGAATTATATAAAAAAATAACAACTTTTATTATTTTTTTAGTGAAATACACATTTATATATATATATATATATATATACATATATATATCAAGGAGTTTTAAGCATAATTATCAAACATTGAATGTTCATATGTAAATACATTAGAATGTAAATTTTCGTAATAAATAACTGGATTTTTTTTTTTTTTTTTGATGAATTTCCTTATCCTTTTTATTTGGGTCTGAAGGGACCTGCGCAATCCGCTCCAGGAAGCAGCTTCAGCTTGCGGCCTCCAGAATCGCTAAAAGCGACTCAAACGCTTAAACCGTCTCTCTCTCTCTCTCTCCCCCCCTCTCCTGCTATTTCCACCATTGCTGACGTTCTTCAGATCTACGAATCAGAAGCTCTCTCCCAAAACCCTAGCTTCCTCAATTCTTAGAATCGTCCTTTGATCTGCGAGATCCGATGCCGCTGCCACCCAGATCTCTCATCTGGCTCACCTTCTTCCTTCTCTTCCTTGCCTCCCCTCCCTCCTATGGCTTCTACCTCCCGGGAAGCTACCCCCACAAGTACCGGATCGGGGATCCCCTCTACGTGAAGGTGAACTCCCTCACTTCTATAGATACCGAGATGCCCTTCAGCTACTACTCTCTTCCCTTCTGCCGCCCGCTCGAGGGTATCAAGGATTCCGCCGAGAACCTTGGCGAGCTGCTAATGGGAGATCGCATCGAGAATTCTCCCTATCTCTTTCGCATGTTCACCAACGAGTCTGACCTAATCCTCTGCCGCACAGATTCCCTCACTGCATCCGATCTCGCCCTTCTCAAGAAGCGTATCGACGAGATGTACCAGGTTAATGTCCTCCTAGAAAACCTCCCTGCAATCCGCTACACGACAAAGGAGGATCTCGTTCTCCGATGGACCGGTTACCCCATCGGCGTCCGTGTTGGTGATTCCCATTTCATATTCAACCACCTCAAGTTCACCGTTCTTGTTCATAAGTACGAGGAGCCTGCAACTGTAGCCGCTGCATCCGCCAACTCCGCCGTTGCTACCTCTGAAGGCGGCCGCGACGTCCCAGGTTATATGGTGGTCGGATTTGAGGTTATCCCCTGCAGCTATCAACATGACACCGAGTCGATCAAGAATCTCAAGATGTACGATCATTACCCGACAAAGATCCAGTGCGAACCGACCACCGTCGCCATGGCGGTAAAGGAGAAGCAACCTCTGGCCTTCACCTATGAGGTCTCCTTCGTTGAGAGTGACATCCGCTGGCCTTCACGGTGGGATGCTTATCTGAAGATGGAAGGCGCAAAGGTGCATTGGTTCTCGATTCTCAACTCCCTCATGGTGATTGCGTTTCTGGCCGGAATAGTTCTGCTAATTTTACTCAGAACTGTTCGCCGGGACTTGACCCGTTACGAAGAATTGGACAAAGAGGCTCAGGCCCAGATGAACGAGGAGCTTTCCGGGTGGAAGCTTGTTGTAGGGGATGTCTTTCGTGCGCCTGGTAATGCAACTCTACTCTGTTTGATGGTTGGAGATGGCGTGCAGATACTTGGAATGGCAGTGGTGACTATATTGTTTGCTGCTCTCGGATTCATGTCCCCAGCTTCTCGAGGGACGCTTGTTACTGGTATGATTTTCTTCTACTTGATTCTTGGGATTGCAGCTGGCTATGCAGCTGTGAGGCTTTGGAAGACGATTAAGTGTGGAGATCATTCGGGTTGGATGTCCATTTCATGGAAGGTTGCTTGCTTCTTCCCTGGTATAACATTCATCATACTGACCACTCTAAATTTTCTTCTTTGGGGTAGTCAGAGTACTGGTGCCATCCCTTTTTCTCTATTTATCATATTGCTCTTATTGTGGTTCTGTATTTCTGTTCCGCTGACCCTTATTGGTGGCTACCTGGGTGCCAAGGCAAGCCATGTTGAATTCCCTGTTAGGACAAATCAGATACCTCGAGAAATTCCTCCCCAAAAATACCCATCTTGGCTTCTTGTTCTTGGTGCTGGAACTCTGCCATTTGGCACTCTGTTCATTGAGCTCTTTTTCATCATGTCTAGCTTGTGGATGGGTCGTGTCTATTATGTCTTTGGTTTTCTCTTCATTGTTTTGATCCTTCTGGTTGTGGTTTGTGCTGAGGTTTCACTGGTTCTCACTTACATGCATCTGTGTGTTGAGGATTGGAAATGGTGGTGGAAATCTTTCTTCTCCTCAGGATCTGTTGCCATCTACATATTCCTTTACTCCGTCAACTACCTTGTATTCGATCTCAAATCTCTAAGTGGTCCTGTGTCAGCTACTCTCTACCTTGGTTATTCACTTTTCATGGCTGTGGCCATCATGCTCGCCACTGGTACTGTGGGCTTCCTATCCTCCTTCTGGTTCGTGCATTATCTCTTCTCTTCAGTCAAGTTGGATTAAACTGCTATTGGTACCAGAGGAACAAGTTCAATGAAAGTCGAGATTTTGTTACTTCGAGCTTGGTTGAAATACTATCAGTTGGTCTCATTATTCTTTCGTGGCTGAATATTTTTCTTCTCAAGTGTTATTGTCAAGATTAGGAGAGTATCTGGAATTTATCTTGTACCAGCAAACATTTTGTTTTTGTTAGTCAGAATGCACTTTGTTTTTACTAGACTGCGCAGAAATGATTTCTGAATTTGTAGTTCCAAGTTGTATGTTAATTATACCTTTTACCTAAAGGTCGTCGAAGTTTGACTCTTTTGTTTTATTCCTAGTAAGTATTGAATCTTGGATAGTATTTTCATGAGTCTATTTCATGCATGCCCTAAGAAAGTAGTGTTTAAAAATTACACTATGAGTGATATAGGAAAAGTTTTTTTAAGAAATATTAAGGCTTGCAATATCGTAGGAAAGGGTAATGTATATATCATATTGTCAGGTGAAACAATTTAGAAGCTCAGTGAAGTCAAATATGTTCATAGTGTGAAGAGAAATATGATCTCTATGAGCCAGGTGACAAAGTCTGGGTATGCGTCTACTTTCATAGGTGATTATGGAAGGTGACGAAGGGGTAATGATGATGGCTCAGGGCAACATTGAAGGGGCTCTTTACCTGATCAATGAAATTATAGATTTCATTGATATGATCGGAACCAATGTAGATATGGATTTGTAGCTCCATGAGTTTAGTCATATAAGCTAATATTGCATGAAGTCCTTACTTTTAAAAAATAAACTTTAGAGTTTGAAATATGTATATTTGGATTTCTGTAAAGATTATATATATGGCAAGTAAAAGAAAGTTTCCTTCTCCAAAGTTGGGTCAATGGTGAAGTAAAAAAAAATGAAGTTAGTGCATACTGACGTGTGGGATCTATTCCAGTTTAGTCCGTTGGTGGTTTTCACTACTTTGTCATATTTATTGATGATCACACTAGAAAGGTATGGGCTTACTTTTTAAATAAAAAATATAGCATACTTGGAGTGTTTAAGAAGTAAAATGTCATAGTAAAAAATGAGAGGCTTGAGGCTGAAGTGTTTCAGATTAGATAATTGGGGGCGAGTATGATGATCAGGGTTCAAGAATTATTGTGTTTCGTAGGGGATTAGACATGAGTTCATTGTTCCAAGAAGAACTCCACAATAACATAGAGTAATTGAGCTCATAAACAGAACCATCACATAAGTGCTAGAAGCATGAGGTTGCAAGCTGGCTCCTCAAGTCAGATCTCGGTATAAACAATGAACACTACAGTGTTTCTGATCTACTATAGTCCATCGGTACCTTTGAAGGAAACCTTACCTGAAGAAGTCTGGAGCGACAAAGAGTTAAATCTATCTCACTTGAGGGTATTTGGTTGTTATTCATATGTGTATATTGATGTGGGGATTAGGAGTAAACTTGACTCAAAATATGTCATGTACACTTTTATTGGGTATGACTACATTCATCAGGAAAAGGAATGTTACATTCAATGAAATGAAGATGTACAAAGACAAGATCGAAATTCAGGATTTCCTTTTAGTTAGTTTTGAAGAGACCATGTATGTTGAGAGAAGATATTAGTGATCAAGAGGGGGGATAAAGAAGTAGTGCTCAATCAGATGAAACAAATGAAGTTCCTTAATCACATGTTACTGAAGTCAGGGGATTCAACAGAGCTACTCGACCAACACAGATGTATTCTACTTTATATCATTTGTTGTTTATAGATAGTTGTGAATCAGAGTGCTATGAGGAGGTCACTTAAGTTGAAGATTCAAATGAGTGAGAGTTTGTCATGGATGACAAGGTGTAGTCATTAAGTTCAAATCGGATATGGGGTTTGGCGGTATTACCATATTACAAAAGAGCACTATACAACAAGTGGATCTATAAGTTGAAAGAGGGGTCATATGGTAGCAGTTGCTACAAGGAGAGGTGGAGTTTCATCAGAAGAAATGAGCTGCGTTGAGCTTATTAGTAGAGAAAGATCTATATTTGGAGCAAATGAATATAAAGACAATCTTTTGACATGGCGATCAAGAAAAAAAATTGTACATGATGCAATTGTAGGGTTGCGATGTTTCAGGAAAAGTTTTGGTCAGCAGATTGAAGAATAGTCTTCATGGCTTGAAGCAGACCCCAAGCCAATGGTACAAGAAGTTTGATAGGTTCATGTCAAACATGATTACATGAAGTATCACTCAGACCACTGTTGCTTCATCAAAAATTTTGATAATTGTTATATCATGTTTCTTTTGTATGTGGATGATATGATCATTGCAGGGAATTAAGGGAGTAATTATCAAGTGAGTTTGAAATGAAAAATTTATGTTCAACCATAAAAATCCTCGGGATGAGAATCCGCAGGGACTCGAGTGCATGTACAGTGGTGTTGTTTCGTGCAGAGTATGTTCTGAAGATCTTACAAATGTTCAACACGAGAAAAACAAAACCTGTTTGCACCCCTTAGATAGCCACATCAAGCTATTTAAGGAATTATCGCCTAAGTCTGAAGCAAAGCAAAAGCACAGTTGGGGAGAACTTCGTATGCTTCAACAGTTTAAGTATAATGAATGTTATGATTTGTACAATACCAAATATTGCTTATATAGTAGGAGTGGTCAGCAGATATATAGGCAAGCAAGGCATGCATCATTAAGAGGCAGTGAAGTGGATTCTCATGTTTTTGAGAGAAAATGTCAACATGATAGTTTTCTTTGAAGTGCTGGAATCAGTCTACAAGGATTTGTATATTCAAATCTAGAAGGAGTTTTGGATGATGGAAGAAGTATAATAGAGTACATCTTCACTTTGGGGAACAAAGCGATGAGTTGAGTTTACAGACTACAAAAGATTATTGCACGTTCAAATACGAAGGTTGAATATATTATTATCATTAAGCCTAGTAAGGAGATGGTGTATCTAGAAGCCTTTATGGCAGAATTTGGTAAGGAGCATAGATTGGAATGCTTCATAGTGATAGTACGAGTGATTCGGGCCATGTGATTTCCCTTGTGGAATCAATAGAGAATTATGAGTGAACTTTTGTGAGCTAGAGTGATTGTACGGAGAAAATTTGAGCTTTGTACTATGTACTTTCTTTAATTCATAGTGAAATTTTGGTATGGTGAGGCTGATTTTTTTTCCAATTTTTGAATTTTTTCACATAAATCTAGTGTTCTTTTCTTATAATATTCTATTGTGATTCTATTTTTTTTTTTCATATTTCTAGAATCGGTAGTTTGATTCTTCTGTCGTGTGTTTTTTATTGTTAACCAACCGAAACTTTTTAAGTAATTTTTCAACCCAAGAAGGCTCATTTTGTTTTTAAACAAGTAGCTTGTTTAGTTTTATCGAGCTGCTCATCTTGGCCTAAATTGAGCCTAGCTTATTAAGCATAGGGGCAAACGTAGTAAGCTTAACAAACCAAGTTAAAGCTTATTGAAATTAGAAAAAAAAAAAAAAAATCATTTTATAAAAGCCTTCATCCGAAAGTCCCAACATTTCAATCAGAACATGCCGCCCTCATGACACGGCCGTGACCCACACAGCCCATCCCACGCAACCACAGCGAAGCACAGGCCATGAGAATGATAACAAGAAATTAATTTAAATTTGAATTAAACTTAGATCATACTTTAGTAAGATAAGTTATATTTAAAATTATAGTTTATATTAAATTTTAAATAAATTTTAAACTTTAATCAATATTTTTAATGAACTTAGTCATAAGTTTTAAAAGATTGTGTACATAAACATGAATAAATTAACTAATAAATTTTTTGAATCTATTCATTTAACGATCGAGTATTTACAAAATTATTCAAGCTCTTTTGAGTTTAATCAAATGATCATGAAAGTGCGAAATCACAAGTAACTTGCCAAAAGCTATATTTATTTGCAACCGTAATCAAATATTTTTTTAAAAAAATTTTTAAACTATGTTAAACTATTAGTTTGGAATTTGAATTATTTCTATGTTTAGAAGTGTTTTCGTTCTATGTTAAACCTACTATTTGCATGACTCTCTTTTCTTTGGTTTATTGTTTCTACTTAACTAAGAGATTGTTTGGGCCCGTGTCTCCAAAAGCTTGTCATTTACATTGTTTAAAAATTTTTGAAGTGAAAATACTTGATGATGGACAATTGCTCATGACAACCAAGTTTGTGGATTTTTTTTTTGTATGATCTTAAGGCTTTGAATGAAAATGGTTTGCTCATTTGTACATGCATTCATGCCCAACTTTTAATATTTTTTTAATCCATCCCTTGGAACAAGTATAATAGCTAAAAAGAATTCATGTTAAATAACTCATTCGTTAAACAGGAAGATTGGGCGCCAACATTTGTCAAATCACTTTGTTTGGATAAAATTAATTAAATATTTGAAAAAAATATATTTATATAACTTATATATTAATTTTAAAATGCATTTAAAAATAATAAAATTTATTTTAGTTTTGAACAATCGAACTAAAATTGAGCCGAAACATACATACAAATTTAAATCGGTCAAAATCAAGCATTAAATTCACTCAATCGAACTCATTCAACGCTTATTTTGATTGCCTAATTCATGCGATTTACTAATTTTTATAATTGGTGTCTTAAAAAATTTAGCAAGCGTTTAACAATGGGTGACTCCATGATGGCTTCACTTGATTAATGAAATTTGATGACATTTCAAAAATTCTATTTGATAGCTCATTGTGGCCATTGTAGAGTACTGGAATTAATTACCAAGAATCTGTGCCAAACTCTTACCAGTTTGGAATGAACACGACTTGAAGCCATTAGAATAGTGGTAAAATTTATCATTCTTATAGTATGGAGGGCTTTGCACCCCTTCAAGGTTTTCTCTATGAGGCAGTCGCCTATAAAAGCAGTTTTTGAACAATTGTCACGACTGCTTATCGCTGGTCACCCCTTAAACAAGTATAGATAAATTTTCAACGTTGGCAGCACCTATAGAGGTCAGGGTGTCAAATGGCATGGTATTATTATAGAGCCCCATGGGAAACAATGAGCTTTGATTTTCACATCATAAACAGCCCAGCCAAGTATGAGAGGGACTGGAATTTACTAACAAAAGTAGGTAATTGCTAGCATGCCACAGAAGAAAAATATTACAAGCACTTTAATGCATGGGTTAAGGTGGCATGCAAGTAAAAAAAATTGAAGTTTAGATAATGTTTGTTGTGTAAATACATAGGGCAATACTCAATTAGGAATTATTTCAAGTCCATCACTTTCACCAACCTCAGATGACTTCAACTGGGGTA